TTATTTCTGAAGCCAGCTTGATTTATGAATAGCAGCTTAAATTACTTTTCAATCTGCACCACACAGGAACAGGAAGAAACACAATTCCTGTGCAACAGGATGCATCAGATTCAAAAATAAATAAATATCCAGTCCAAATTTAGTGAATATGATGCTCTAAAACAGGTATCTTCAGAGACTTGCTCTCAGTCACATACAAAATGCCAGAGAAGATTTCATGTCAAATGATTATGCATTTATTTAAACACAGGTAAGCTTCATGCTAGTCAGTTTGCTGGTATTTGCACCTTGGGAACAGTGGCGTAGCGTGGGGGGTGCAGGGGGTGCCGGCCGCACCAGGCGCAGCATCTGGGGTTATGGCAAATCCACAGGTTAGGGGGCGCAAATCCACGGGTTAGGGGGCGCAAATCCACGGGTTAGGGGGCGCAAATTACTTGCCTTGCCCCGGGTGCTGACAACCCACGCTACACCACTGCTTGGGAATACCACTTCTCATTCAGAGAACCCTCAGTTGGATAAATATTGATTCAAAATACTAACATCATTTTGCATAGGACTCCCCTTCCCAAGGAACCAAATCATATTATTTGTTCACAACTGCGTCAATATCTTTTGCTAAATGACTGCATCCTTTCAGTCTCATTTACAATAATTATTTAAAGTTGAATTGCTTCATTCAAGACATGGCAACTCTTTCCCTTTGGTTATTTGACTTCTAACTGCCTGAAACTTCTAACAGTTTTTCCTAAGTTTGAACAGTATGTGGAATTTCCCCACTAGAGGAAAGAATATTTGGATCATGTGTATTCCAATCCAAGCAGGCATACAGGGCAATTTCCCTCCCCCACTTAGGTTCATCTGACCATTCTTCACTTTTTTATGTCTGAAGTATATCCCCCTTAGGAGAAGAATTCAGCCAGTTATAAAAACAGTTAGAATCTGGCCAGAGGGCACTTTCAGTCAGCTCCAGGATTGTTTTGAAAGTACTGATCGGAGCATGTTTGAAAACCAAGATCTGCACAGATGCACAGACACTGTACTTTCTTATATTAAAGTGTGCACCAATAATGTAACAATGGAGAGGTGCATTAGAATCTATGGGAACTGCAAACCCTGGATGACTGCTGAAGTAAGGTCACTCCTGAAAGCTCGGGATACTGACTTCAAGGCAGGGAACATAGATATATACAGTGGGCAAGAACAAAGCTCAGGAAAGGCATTAAGGCAGCAAAACAACGATATAAGCTTAAGGCGGAGAACTGCCTAACTGATAAGAACACGAAACAAGTGTGGCCAGGGACTGCAGCATCTAACCAACTATGAGGGCAATACGAGGAACACGGTTAAGGCTGATGATTTGTTGGCAGAGCAGCTGAACATCTTCTTCGCCCACTATGAGGTAAAAAGATCAGGTATCATAGCTCCTGCTTGCCAGCCTACAAAATCTCAGCCCCTTATTCTATATGACCATCAAGTGAAAGCTGCATTGAGGGCGGTGAATCCCAGTAAAGCTGCTGGTCCAGATAGGGTGCTGGGGATAGCGGTAAAAAACTGTGCCGATCAACTAGCAGGGGTCCTGACAAGGATTTTTAACATCTCTCTGCAAACGGCTTGTGTTCCATCATGTTTGAAAGCAGCCAAAGAAAACAGCAACTAACTGCCTAAAGGACCACAGACCTATTGCATTAACATCTTTAGTGATGAAATGCTTCAAGAGATTGGTCCTTCAAAACCTTAGGACATGTTTTCCTCCAGATTTTGATAAACATCAGTTCGCCCATAGGAGAAATAGGTCAACAGATGATACCATAGCTACAGCCTTTCACCTTGCAGCAAGTCATCTGGAGAGACCGGGGAATTACGGTATGTTAGAATGTTGTTTATTGATTATAGCTTGGCTTTTAACGCCATCCTTCCGGACATTCTTATCAAAAAGCTGATGGAACTAGACCTTTCTTCTACCATCTGTGAATGGATTAAAGACTTTCTGAGGGATCAGACACAAACAGTTAGGATTGGGCCTGCTACATCTACCTCCCTGAAGCACAGCACTGGCACCCCACAGGGATGTGTGCTGAGTCCCTACCTGTACTCGTTGTATACATATTTTGTATTTCATCTGTGTTTCATCTGATCCATCCACTGCAATTATTAGGTTTGCAGATGATACTACCATAATGGGTCTAATTACAGGTGGAGATGAATCAGTGTACAGGGAGGAGGTTCAAAAAGTATCTACATGGTGCTTAAAGAATAACTTGTACTTAAATATTAGCAAGACAAAGGATATGGTGTTGGACTTTCGAAGGAAGAGAGGGGAACTAGCCCAGTTGAATATCAGGAAGGGGTTGTGTGGAAAGAGTCTCTTCCTTTAAATTCCTGGGAGTTTACCTTAGTGAAGAACTCACTTGGAAAAACAAAATAACTCAGGTGGTTAGAAGGCCCAACAGAGACTCCATTTCCTCAGGGTCTTGCGAAAGAACAATATTAAACAACAATTGATGACCTCCTTCTACCTGTCCACAATAGAAAGTGTCCTCTCATATTGTATCATAGTGTGGTACGTTGGCTTGACAGCCACAGACAGAAAGTCTTTACAGAGGGTGGTGAACACAGCACATGATATCATGGGCTGTCCCCTGAGCCCGCTAGATGACATCGCAAGGGATCGTTGCCTTAGGAGAGCAAGAAAAATTCTCAGGAACAATTCACACCCCGGGGCCAGCACCTCTTTAATCTTCTACCTTCGGGCAGGAGATATAGAAGTATAATCAGTCGTACCAACAAGCTAAAAAACAGTTGCTATCCATGGGCTGTTATGCTGCTGAATGGAAAATCATAGAGTGCAACTGACTTTTGGGGTTGGTGTGTTGTGCAACAAGCACACAGAGTGCAATGAGATTGAGTGTTTGGGGAGGGAGTGAGGCTCGGTTAATTTCATTGTACACAGGCTGTACATTGACAATAAAGGTATTCTATTCTATTAAACATAATATTTTGCTTTAATTGTAACTATCTATATAAATTGCACTAGCCCTGAATCTCTACTAGCACAAAACTCACTGGATGACCTTGGGCCACTCACTTTCTCTTGGCCTAACCTGAGCAAAAAGTAAATAAGTCCCAATAGAGACAAGCTAATTACCAACTAGGATCTACATACCCAGATAATGCAAATTTAAAGAATATAAATCTGGCACTGTGAAATTATTTTATATCACAAATATAAACAATTACAAACATAACTTGAAATTATTCAATAAAATAAACTGAAATGCATTTCAACCTTATTCAGGGCTATTGCATGAACCAATGCATTATGGAAATTTTACAGCCTAACTCCGCCTTAGATCCCACTAGTCTTAAAATAGTCTCTTTAAGTGAATCAGATGGTATAGAAGGATTTTTTTTTCCCTTCCAATCGCTCTTCCTGCTTTGCTCTGGGAGCAGCTTACATTCATCCCAGATTTTAACTATCAAATTCTTTGAAACGTTACCCAGGGATGTTGGGGAAATGAGATTTTATTTTATGTTAAGTTGATCCACAATTAGGTTAGCTTGAAGAAGTTGATTAACAGTGAATCCTGTGCATGTTTACTTTGAAGTAAGTCCCATTGACTTCAGTGGAGCTCCCTCCCTGCACAGTAGATGTGTGCAATTCTGTACTCATTTACCTGGAAGTAAGCCCATTTGAACTCAGTAAGACACACTTCTGTGTAAACATATAGGATTGCGCAATAAGGCTACACTCCTATACACACTTACCTGGCTAGGAGTAAGATAACTGAAAATTAACATTTACTTCCTAGGAGACATATATATGCTTGCACTATAACATTTGGTACAGCCCATCTGACTTCAGTAGTCTTGAAGCACATGAAATTTAAGTTTTATGAATTTAAGTATTATGAGCTATAGATGGAAATTTGGGCTGCAATCCTATATACACTTACCTGGGAATAAGTCCCACTGAACTACATATGACTTACTCCTGAATATGTATGAACCAGATTGCACTGCATGTCTATAAACCACAAAACATGGCAAACTTCTGTAACATGGCAGCTACTTCTGAAATAGTCTACAAAGTTTGTATTTCTGATTTTAGAAAGAGATGACATTACAGTGTTAAGTGCACTTAAGATGACTGATTTCAGGGGACTTAAGTGTGGCCAATATCTGTCTGCTTTAAACAATGAAAACAAAACTATAACTTCATTATCTGCAGCATGATTCATTAATGGAAAAGATAACAGTATCAGTGTGGATATCAACAACATCACTATAATTCTACAATATTTGCAAGTTTTATCTTGCACAAGCTCTGTATATCACCCTCAGTATATAAATAATATGGGGAAATATAGAAGAGCCTAGTAGCTTGTTCAAAATTACAAAGGTCACCATAAGCATTAGAAATTCATACTTCATTTTAGCGAACCCATCCAGTGGGTGCAGTTCAGATGAATGTGACTTCAGAGTAATCCCCACAGTGTCTTTCCCCTATGGCTCATGAACATGGACATCATTGCAGGTGTGGAGAATGGCAGGATAGCACCCATTGCTCATATCCCCCATCCGGTCTTCCCCTTCCCTTCTGCAAACTCAGAGCAAAGCCAAGGTGCTATGGATGGGGATTTGGGTTGTATGCCTGGGCTCCTCATTTGCATAGCTGCCAACTTTTCCCTTTTCTTGCAAGGAATCCTATTCGGAATAAGGGAATTTCCCTTTAAAAAAAGGAAAACTGTGGCAGCTATGCTCATTTGCCATAAGACCTGATGCATGTATCACCAAGTGTGTATATCAAGGATAGAAAATCCAGGTTCCTTGATGCCATATGGGGGATCCTTTCATGTACCTGTGGAGAATTGGATATTTTTTAAAAATCCTGCTTGGTTATTTCATGTTTTGGTGCTCACTCTGTATGCAAGAAACACCATTAAGGTTTTTTTTTTTTTTTTGAAAGACTTGAATCATTTGACATCCTGATAAAGCCTTACGTTCTTGGAAAGATGTGAAGAGCATCTGGAATCGGCTGCTTCGGCTGCCTTCATCTGCCCACATGCGGATTACTCCAAGACCTGTGCGCAGCATCACATCATTAGCAACAGTGCTGCAAAACTTAGCTTTTAAATCCTCCACTGAGCTACTTCCATCATAGACAGCCACAAAATTCCTTTTGCATTCATTAGAATTCTGCATTTCATAGTCCAAGAACCGTAAATATATCTACGAAACAAAAAAACAGTGAATATGACAGTGTAAACCATCATTGGAACAAGAGGCATTTCAGCAACATTATTTCCCTTTAGAAAAAAAATCCACTGGTGTGTAATCAAACACTGGCTGTGTTTATGCTCTGGGGAAAGTGCAGGGTTATTAAAGGAACTGAGAAAAATTTTTTTAAAGTGATTTCCATTGGATGACTATTCTCCCTCTAAATATGCATATGGTCAGCACATGCATGAGCATCACCTGCTGACTGTCACATCAAGTAATTACTTGCATGTGTGAATCAGCCATAACAGCAACAACAAAAATCAAAATGGAAGGCTTTCTGTATTACTGAATCTGGAGCAGAAAGCTCAAAAGCTTTTTACTGTACTTTTTAAAAATTTGTGGTTTTTGCATTCTGAGAAAAAGAACAAGGAATACAATTGCAATTTCATCCCTTTATTTACGGGAAAAGTATAAGATCTAATGTTTGAGAACCCAGGAATCCTTTGGAAATAAGACATTGGTTTTCCTTTCATATTTCCTCAAGCATGGTGGATTCTAAAGGGTTAAAAAAGCACCTTGTTAACATCTCTGTAATTTCTGATGTAGTAAAACATCAAAGCTGTTCCACTGACATAACTTAATTATTTCGTACATTTTATATATTACGAACAGTTTCTGAATTCAGTTCACAGAATAAGAAGAAAATCATTACAAATCAAAACAGAAATAACAAGTAAGCAACCATAAGACTGAACAGGTGAGCACTTAAAAGCAGCGGGTTAAAACAATTAAAGCTGCAATCTTAGATACACTTACCTGGAAGTAAATCCCATTTAATTCAATGGGACTTACTTTAGAATAGATATTGATTTGATTGTGCTCCAAAACTGAAAACTTTAAAAGTGTTGGTTGGAAGATTATTATTTTTTAAAGATTAGCATCAAAAAATAGCAAAGAGAAGAGAAATTTCATAAACAGGGCACTACAATAATAATGTCTTATCTCCAGTTTCTACCTCAGAAGGCGGGGCATGTGGAGTACAACCTTGCTTCATGACCTGACACAAGCAGTTTGATGTGGGAAGAACAGACATTCTTCCAGATAAACAGGCCCAAGCTGTAAATGACTTGAAGGTAAAAACCAAAACTCTTGAGTTGTATTCAAAAATAGACAACCAGTCCAGGAGTTATGCAAACAGGTGCATCTGAATAAAATTTACTGTCTTATACCATTTTTAAAGCCAAGTTTCAAAGCAATCTGTCAAGCTCCAGCAGAAGGCTATTGAGAAGGGCTGCAGGGCTGCTACACTTATGAAGTTGAGAGACAAGCAAACTTTGTATCTACTCTTCTTGAACTGTTTCCATCCCAGATCTCATTAGAAGAACTTGTAACAAAGTACTGGAACCTGAGTTTGCTTATTTCCTCCTCCCTACCAGTCCATTTTATGTTTGTGTCTTGCTGCTTTGGGTGTGTTTTTGTTGTTGAAGAGCCAGCTTAAAAGAAAACACCCAACTTCAAATAAATAAATAAATTTATAAAATCCTACATACAATGTACATAATTTGTACAAATTAAATATCAGATTTCCTGCATTCAACTGTATCATTTTATAGTAAAATAAACTATACATTATTGTTTTAAAACAATATATTGTTTTAGCAAATTTGCTTTAACTGTTATTCAGAGTTGTCACACATCTGCATGGTGTGGTGTTTTTTTTTAAAATGTAAATATACATGGAACCAATTGACACAGAATAATTAGTAAATTGCATGACCAAAACGAAAGAAAGGAAAAGAAAGGGGGGGGGAGAGAATGTGATCATTTGCTTCTATGGAGTATAGATCAGGCATAGGCAAACTCAGCCCTCCAGATGTTTTGGGACTACAACTCCCATCATCCCTGACCACTGGTCCTGTTAGCTAGGCATGATGGGAGTTGTAGTCCCAAAACATCTGGAGGGCCAAGTTTGCCTAAGCCTGTCTTATAACCTGTGTCTGATTCTGATTATTTAGAGGGGTATGCCCATGAAATGTATGAGACTTCCACATATTTCAGAGAGGATACCATTGTAAGGAAATGTAGAAGCAGGTGCTAGGCAAAGGAGAAAGATGAGGGGGTTGAGAAAGAAGGGGAGAGAGGAGGAGTTCCAAAGGCAAAAAGGCTTTCCCTTTACCGTTGCTCTCAGCATCCTCTAAGGAATTTCATCCACAGTTACCTACTTAGATCTAGCAGAGTAGAGCTTTGTCTAAGATCCCTACTGCAGTTAGCTATGCAAGAATCAGAACTTTCGTTCTCTTTTCTAAGCTTGACACTGCACTACTGCACTACACTGGGCCCTGCAGAGTGAGAGTCTTTCCCGCTGACTTCAGTGCAGTATGTTATGCAGCACAGAGCTAAAGGATGAAGACTGCCTTCTCACAAAGTCATTTGAACTAAACTAAGCTATTCCCACACCCAGTTTGTCTTCTGCTGGTGACTATCAGATGCAAAATTTAAGACACTTGACCTTCAGCCTATCCGTAACTGAACTGTGGCAACTATTTTAGGGGTGGGGGAATCTACTGCATATATGTTGATGCATCTCTGAGATGAGTTGTGTATAAACAAGAAAAGAGAAAAGTAAGCAAATAGGAATATAGGAACATAGGGAGTTGACCTAGACAGAGTAAGGCGTTTGATCCATCTAGCTCACTATGATCTGCATTGATTGGCAGAGGTTTTCCAGGGTATTCAGACAAAAATCTCTCCCAATCGTCCTTGAGATGTTTGGGTCTGCTACAGCTCTTTCCAAAAAGAGAGGCCTCTCCCTCAATGTCCCTTCTTCAAGGAGCCAGAAGGCCTATGCATAAAAGGAGCTATCATGATAAATTTCACTCCCTAATTTACCCTTTTCTTTTGGTTAGATTGATTACTTAATTGGGGTCATTGCTCAACTTCAGAAGTCTTCAGCTTCTTTTATACTAATTTTTATACTAAAAGCAGTTTAGTACCTAATTTGATAGCCATGTCACTACCCCAGATGTACATCCTGTTTTTCCTCCTACATTCATCTGAAATCTTCATTAATGTTTGGCCAACTTTGCTTTGTAATGACAATTCCCAAAGTGTATTTCATCTCAGCCTAGGGGGTACGAAATTAAGTCACCAATAGATAGACAACAGCACAGCTGTACAGATGAGGTATGTTTTATTACCCAAAGTTCCTGACTTGCAACCTTAGTCTCAAGTCGCTAGACTAAGCTTTTACCCCATGGCTGCTGGAGATAACTCTAGTAAGCATGACAGAGAGGATTATGTTGCAAACAAACTGGTGTTAAGGGAATCCTACTCCTGAACAATCTAGCTAGCTTTAGAAAAGCAGCATAAGCTGATCAAACTCTTACTTGTGTTGCTCTGTAAAAATGGAACACTTTGCTTTAATCCACAAGCTCTTTAGCCTCCCCAGCATTATAATAGATAGAGCAGTATTTATTCTGCATATCACACATTACTAATCAAGTGCAATTGACTCAAGATTTCAAGCAGTATTATTTGAAAATATTTTCTTTCAAAAAATAGATTGTTTTCTAATAAAGCTTGTGCAGTAGAGAAAATCCTAACCACTTTAATCATTTGTCCTTTTCATGCATTTGTGGCAAACACATATAATCCACAGCAATTGCTTATCTTCCACTAGGTGTGCATAAGCATGTGTGTGTGCGCGCACCCACTCACCCAGGTATGATGATTTTTTTTAAAAATGTAGAACTGGAAAGGGGTGGACAGACTAGCCTATGTATCATGTCAGATTTACTGTCTTTTGCTCAACCATAGGCCTGCTCCCTCCCTTTTCGCGCTCTCTCTCCAAAAGAACACATGAAAAAGCTATGTGTGAATTGTACACATTTGTACTCATGTATTATGCTTAGATTGTTTCTTTCACAATATTTAATTTATTCTGCTGGTTAAATTATGGTTTGTTTGTTTTTTGTCTTACTTGAATTTATTAGTATGTTGTGAATTACTCTCACACCCCGCAACTTCCACCACAATTCCCACTGGTTTTTTTGTTTTGTTTTTTATAATAAGCCCACTTTGGACTAAAAAAGGGTGAGAGATTTTATTCAAATTTGAAGCTGAATCTATCAAATTTGCACTGTCTGAAAACATGAGAACTAAAACACAGCCATCCTTCAAAATTCACATTTATCTGAACTTTGTGATGTGGGTCTCCAACTAAACAATGCTTTAAAATATGTGTAAATTAGGAGGAATGTGCATAAAAGGAATATATTGGTGGAAATAGCATACTACACTACATTGGATTTGGATAATTTGCTTTAAAATCAAAACTGCAAACAAAAATTGTTTATTAGGAGGAATTCACACTAAAAGTCTGAAGAATTTTCACAGGAATTTTTTTTTTTTTACGTTGCAAACAGCTTCAGAAATGTGGAGAACTAGATTTAAGATTGGAAGAATCGGAAATGGAGAACCAACTGTGGAAAGGTGGCATGCAAATAATCTAAATCAATCAGTACCTCAGCTTTATTATTATTAAAATTATATTTTTATGTTCCATTTCAGTGGGTCACACAGCCTCTGCACAAGCAAAGCAGGTCTTCTGGAGGCACACTTGATTATTCCAAGTGGTGATTTCACACAGAGAACCTATTGCAACAGGATATCAAAACATGATGTTTCCTCTTACTTCCAGATGTTAAAGTGCAAATGTACTCTCCCCTCCACCTAAAGTTCCTCCCTGAATCTGCACCCTCACTAGGCTTTTTCTTTTGATAGAAGCCCTAATTCAGAACTGTGTAATTCGTGGCAGGATTCAGCCACTTGAGACTACCTGCTGTTAACCAAGCTGAAACAATCAGAGAAGAAGCTGTGTTCGTCTGTTGCTGCAACAGCGAATATTTTGTGCTTCTGCTTCAAAAAGAGCACTACTATTTTATAAGCCTGCATTTGTGCATTTGGCATTGCAAATGCTATCTTATAAAACATAATTGTGTGACAGAAGG